ACCGGTGAAACGATCTCCAGTTACACCGATCAACCGGTGAAACATTAGAACTCACCTTCAGGGTCCTGAAAGCTAACTATACGGGGTACCCTTGGGTCCTCAAAGCCTACCACAGGGGGGGGGGGTACCCTTGGGTCCTAAAGGCCTACTATAGGGAGGTACCCTTCGGGCCTCAAGGTGTACTATAGGGGAATACCCTGGAGTCCCTAACATCTGCTATAGGGGAATACCCTGGAGTCCCTAACATCTACTATAGGGGGTATCCTTGGGTACTCAAAGTCTGCTACACGGGGTTACTCTTGGGTTCTCAAGGTCTACTATAGGGAGTACCTTTGGGTCCTCATGGCCTACTATTCATGGTACCTATGGATCCTCCAGTTTCACTGTTCATGGATACCCTTCGGTCCTCAAGTCCTACTATAGGGGCACCCTTCGGTCGCAGAATCCTGCTTGTTAAGGAGTATCCGTCTGCCCTAAAGTTCTACTATAGGGATACCCTTAGGTCATCCAGTCCTACTATTGGCCAATAGCGACGCCTCCTCTACTCCTATTATGGGGGGTAAATTTCGAGCTCAAGCATTGTATTCAGGGGTACCCTTCGGTCTTCAACAAACACTGCCACTGTGAAATGAAAGCACACATCTACCGGAACCTACCTAGTGACCAAATAGATTACTGGGCTTCCGCGCTCTATTTCTTAGTGGCACACTGGTGGGACCCCTAAACGAACACCTTGCATATGATAGACCGCCCTGGCAAAGCGTAACATCCGGTCTAACATATCTTCATCAGATTCTCGACCAATAAGATTTCACGGAGCCATTTCTTTCTTGTTGTTTAGACAACCACTAGTCATGTTGGGGCCGATCGTATGGTTACCGATGATTTCCTATCGAATGAGGTGTATATGTGTGGGCCTGCGTCGCTTCGATCACTCAGAAATAGAAACTCCCAGTCTCATTGGTTTCTTGGTGAACAAGCAGATTTTTGATTGCTTCTTCGATATTATCTCGAAAATTAATGTTATAGCAGGATCCAAGAAAGCTAGAGTACTCCCCTAGGGCAGCTGATGGCGACTTAGGGGTACTCCTATAGGCTAGCGCATGGTGACTTATGTGTAACCCCTAGGATAACACATGAGTGCTTGTGGGTATGCGTATGGGATAGCCCATGGCGATTTAGGGGTACCCCCTAGGAGAGCCCAAGAGGACTTATGGTACGCCTATAGGATAGCCCATGAGGACTTGTGCATACCCCTATAGCATAGCCCATGATGACTGGTAGGTACCCCTATAGTAGGCCTTGAGGACCCCAGGGTACTTCCCTATAGTAGGCTTTCCGTACCCAAGGCTACCCCCCCCCCATAGAAGACCTTCAGGATCCAAGGATACCCCCTATAGTAGGCCTTGAGGACCCAAGAGTACCCCCTATAATAGACCTTGAGGACACAAGGGTACCTCCTATAGTAGGCCTTGAGGACCCAAGGGTACCCCGTAAAGTTAGCTTTCAGGACCCTGAAGGTCAGTTCTAATGTTTCACCGGTTGATCGGTGTAGCCGGGAATCGTTTCACCGGTTGATCGTTTCACCGTTCTTCGGTAACTACGATAGAACGGTGAACGATTAATCGTCACCGATGCACCCCTACAACGAAGTATCTATTCTTTTTTCTTTAGTTTAGACTAAAACAAGTTGAACAGATTACTAATCGTAACTTGTTCCTTGATTTGGAGAGACATTCATGTTGACAGTAATGATTGATAGATTATCATTTCATCCATGACTTGTTTCCTAGTGTATGAATTTTAACAGCAACATACAAAAATGCTTTTTAGATTCTCGTAAGAGAAAAGAAAGAATTTTTTCTTAACGCATCTTGGTAATAAATTGACCATGGATAAATTCTCGAAAATAACCGAAACAGATGAAACAGTTTGTTATGCAACAAAAAACATTACTAAATCTTTATTTCAATTTTCATTATCAATAACAACAATAAATACAAAAACTTCTTTCATTGCTTCAAAGTATTAGGTGTTGTTACCTTGAGAAGATTGTCCTGAGTTGTCTGGTATTGTCAGAAAGCGTTGGATTAAAGAAATTCGAAACTTTCGGAGTAGATAAAAACTCAATTGACAAGTCAAAAGTTATCCCAATACAGAAATTCTTGAATTCTTTCTTCTATGAGGTACAATGATCTTCCTTCTTAGATGTGAAATGTCTGGTTGGTTGAAACTTATTTTTCACATATTACAAAAATTTCAGAGTGTTTATTTATTTTTTTTTAGTTTTGCTTTATCTCCTTCTACTTGAGTGAAAAAGCCGAAAGATAAAGAGCATACTGGAAAATACATGGTTTTTTTTAGCAGACCTTATTTTCGAACCTATACTTAAAATAGGTAATATAATATTTTTTACAATAAAAATGTTGCCACTTTAAAGTTTTTGGTATCTATAAAAAAAAATCTTTCAACTTCAACAGATGTATTTTGTTTGAGAAACTGAAATTCTGAAAAAACTCGGTAGAGCGACAAAGATATAGCTGTTTTCTCATAAAAAACGTTTAGTGTTTTCGATTTTTTTTTAACTTCAAAGCAAACTTTCAATTATTAGGATGTCTTTTAATAGATAAAGAATAATAAGAAGCATGTATTGAGCAGAAAAAAAAAAATGAAAACTCATAGCTAGAAAAGAAAAAATTTTTCTTAAAAAGCCTGTTAAAAATTGGGTCGTTAGAAATGTCATGAAGGAACAAGCAATCAAATGTATACTTAGTTTTTTCCACAGACGACAGTTAGAATTGATCTGTTTAATCTTGCGGATTTAATGTCTTAAGGCTGGTTTGAAATATGTTCATTATTTTTGATGTAGCATCGGAAATTTCTTAGAGAAGTATATTACAAAAAAGCCATAAGAATTGATTGAGAGAAACTGGAGATGTGGGACCTTTAGCTACATGTAAGAATATAATGTTACAATAATTTTGCCATTTGCTAATGTATATATGATAAAGAAAAGAACTTAATGAAAAAACTTTGTTGGTGAAGTTCCTTGCAAACTGAATAAAGGTGAATTCCACAAAACAACATCATTATTTCCTTCATGCTTATATGTTCTTTCCAAGAAAAAGTTAAATCCATACGATGAGTGATGACAGAAATCCAGATTTTACGAACAACAAATCATGAATTAAGGAAAAAAAGAAAAAAGGCTGTTCGTTTTCTTTTTAAATACCTTATTTTTCTCTTAGCTGAAGAGTGTACCATTTGACAGAAAATAAGTATATTTGCTTGAATGTTTGCAACCATGCTTATAATGTCACATATATAGATGCATAGAGTATGTGAATGGGAGTAGAGGAAGCATCCAATTCATCCATACTCCACATCCTAATACAGGAAACACGAAAAGAAGAGAATTGACTATTTTCGAGCAACAGAAACTTTATTCATTCAAACTACATCATATAGCTTCGATAAACATTAAGATAGATAACATTATAAATGATCAGACATTTTTGTATATGCCGAATCCGACAAAACAAAAGTAGGAAAAATCAGTATTGTTGAACGACAATGATCGAATCATGATCTAAAAATAACAAAGATTGTTTATTCAACTTAGAAAGGATCTCAAATATATGACCGCATATTTCGACAATGAGCAATGTTAAATTGAATATGAGTATAAGATCAAAACTAATTCAAAAGAGCAGTAATTGAAAAGGCTTTAGTTATAGTTGAAAATGACGATTGCTCATACTATGTAGAACGAAAAAACTCAAGAAATGTTCGTGATGAAAAACAACGACGAAAATCATTCGTTTCAATCCACTTCCATTTTTCGATTTGATTCTACTTCATTAAAGTTTTCACTGTGATTTTCGAGAATGATGATAAACAAAAAAAAACTATTATTCTGATTGACTTTAAAAAGGACTATAATATTTTTCGTATCCAAATTGAGCTTGTATATTGACAATTTGTTTGATATTGTCGTTGCTTTATCTGTAGACAGTATACTTTTGTTCTTTATTTCGAATGGTACGTAGCAGATGGGAGCTACGGAGTCATCATCACTAATCCAGACGAGAACACCAGCCACATGGGTGTGGAAGTCGGGTGATAATCCTTGGTCTGAAACTGATGATAGCTGGTGTCAATATACAGATCCTGAAATTTATATGATCGAAGATGCTTACCAAAAGAAAAAAAGTATAGTAGAAATAGAAGACTATTGGCTTGATCTCAAAAATCTTGTTCAAATCAATAAAAATGACACAAACAAACAAAGACCAATTAAACGGATAGAAGTAGGTGATAAAAGTTCAAGAGTTCGAGCATCACAACGATTCGTATTTCATGAAACACAAATTACAAAAAAATCGTTTAGTCCAGTTGGAATTTGGGGTTGGTCTAAATTTCTTGCTGCAGCAGGTTTCCGTGCACGTATCTCTGATACTGAATTATCAAGCCGAGTTGAAGCTGCAGCTCAAGGCATCTTAGAAGAAGGAAAAATACTCAACAGGGAAAAAGACGCCGAGTGGATGGCAAGAATCCTGTTAGCATCAAAAAATAAACGAGCTAACGAGATTGGCGAAGTCTGTGTTAGACTATACACAATGGAAAGTTTCCTTTATAGACTCATCAATCAGGTGATGAGAGATGCAGTAATAGAGAAAAAGGAGGGAACCAATGACGCTTATGAATTTGTATTCGAAAGGGACCGAATCTATGGTAAAAATTTAGGACCCTATTGCAGTTTACTATTAGGGTACCTTTGGCAACATTTGACTCATCGAGAAGTAACCGTCTATCGAGCTGCTAGATTGGAACCAGCAATGATTGATGATTATCAACAGCACTTAGGTGAATTTGTTGAATGGGATGGTTTTTCAAGCACAACAACATCATTTAATCATGCAAAAAGTCTCGAAACAAATGTCATTTTTCGTATAAAAATTCCTTGTGGACCCCATCCCAGTGTGGATATACAATGTCTATCAGAATTTCCTAATGAAGAAGAAATATTATTACCAGCTGGAACATGGGTCAAAATTGAAAAAGTAACAAGGGATGAAACTTTGGGAGTGATCATTATTGACATGATAAAGTAATATGATTGTTTATATCTGGTGCTTCTTAATATTTCAACAGTTATTATCGTTATCAAGATGAACCAATTTTTTATTTATTGACATGTTCTGTTTGATTGACGATTAACTAAAATTTGACATAGTTTTCATAAATATGAAAAGAAATTTTCATCTTGCATTCTTCAAACGCAAGAGGTTTTTTTTCTAGATAACACAAAGTTGTGGCATTCTTCGTCAGCAATATTCACATTTGTGAAAGCTATGCTTGGTTCAGTTTGAGTCAAATTGTCAGTCTCAACTCGCTTTTCAGATGAGAAGTCAACATCAATCTATAGTTTAGAGAGATGTCAGAAGACACGTCACACTCTCAGTGTCCGTTTCGCTGATGATTTTGAGACATGAGTTTTACATTCTGTTGGCATCCTACCAGAAATCAGGCTCAGTTAGTGTCAATTTTATGTGATGTAGGAAGGATCCACATTGACACTCAGTGGTGATTGAACAAGTTGAACTAAAACATTATCATTTTTTAAATTTTTGCCGATTGGTCCGTAATAATAATGAAATCAATAGCTTAAAAGAACATAAAGAATATGTTCAACAGAATTTATTTTGGATTGTTTATCTAACAAAAATCAAAGGAAGAACAATTAATGTGTGAGAATATTTTCTCCCAAATATTATTTAATAACTCGATATTTAATCACTCGATCCATTACCAAAAAGACTAAAGCAGACTAATAAAAATCGAAAATTGTAACATGTAGATGATGGTTATCATTAACTATGCAAACATTCATCATAATCATTATAAAAAAAAACTCCATGGCTCTTTATCTATTAGTTAGATTGACTTGCAAAAAATGTCCAAAGATTGAAGATATAGTATTCTTTTAATCTTTATCAAAAAAGATATTCCACCGGTTAGTGATATTTTTTTTAAACCTACGAAATGAAAGTTTTCTTTGTTATTTTATAATGTTAAACAAATATTCAACCAGTAGAAAATATTCTACATTTTATGTTTTATTATCTAGCTTGTATAAATGGTTTGCATTCATTGAAGACTTTAACAAGATAGAAGCGCATAGAAAAGGATCAACATCGACTTCTAAAGTAGCTTTTCTAATATATAACATATTGAGACAAACTTCAACTTCCTCACAATAGGTTGTTTTACCGTATTTGATCATTGTGAACGACTCTTAATTGATTTATCGTTGTATAGGAAATACTACACTTTGCAATGAGGTTAGCTTTACTTGTTTTAGAAGAATGTTATCTGTAATTCAATTTAGATTAAGATACGTTCTTCTCACATACAGCTCGTAATGAATTACGTACTTGATTGAAACATCACTATCATTTGGATTAAATAAAGCAGGAAAAGAAAATGTGAGCCAGTTTGCATGCATGTAAAAGACCTTACGAACAGAGCATATCACTAATTTACGATATCTTTTAATCAAAAACATTGTAAAGAAATGAAATGATGATATGATAAATATTTACTTTACGTTGCTGAATTGAATCTTCCTCTCGTTTAGACAAATATTAATAGAAAGAATTCAAGAGTGTATGTGTTTATCGATCATACGTTTCGTATGGTATGACTCATGTGTCATGTTGATAAACTTGCTACTAGCAAAAGCTACCCATGGTGTCAAATATTTAATGGAACATATTGCGTAATGCATTTTGCTACTTTGAATCTTCAAAATGATGCGAAACATATTCAAACTCATTTCAGTCGACAGGGAAAATGTTACACAGAATCTGTATTCTAAAAAACGCAAAACAAATTGTTTTCAAATGCACTTTGGATCGTTTACGTTTCGAATAATGCAAAAAATTAACCTCTTTGGTTAGAACGTCTGGTACCCATTCATCTTCCAAAAGTACGTCAACAAAGAAAAGTTAACTTTGACAAGATTTTGGAAGTGAGAACAAATGTTTTTACGAAAGGTTTCCTGACTACATTGTTTTTTCTTGCCAAGATGGAGGAACAGATTTTTCCTTAGTCAAGATCAGAACTAAGTTCTTCTAAAATTGAAGCTAATTATAAGGCTTTCTACAGATAAGTCGAAGCTGAGCTAGTATTGCATATTGAAAAGTTTGAAAAGTTTAAAAGGTTTATGCAAGAATAATCAGTAAAACAGCTTAGTATTGTTATGTAAAGAAAGTATTTTCTCGTAATTTATGATTTATAATGATAATTATTGTGAATTCATTTGCAAACTGTCTTACAATGAATGATGATACTTACGAAAGAAGAGGGAAGTATCATTTTCGTTCGTAGAATATTGATGTAGCTAACGAGGGAACATTCCCAACTGTCACACTGCTTTTGAGTTGAGCGTATGCGCATCATGCAGGCTCTAATGATCTATAAATACTCTGAAAATAGTTCGTGCTGCTAGCTTATTACTGCCGA